GAGTTTTGAAAAATTAAACCGTTATTACAGTTCATTGTAGTGTCACCCAGATAGACTGTGAACAGGGTAATTTTGCTATTGCAACAATCCCTACCCTGGACATTTCCATATTTTGTTGGCATCCAACTACTATCAGCCAGGACCACTTATCATCCTGTTTTGGGTTGAAGGGAGATGGTGTCCAACAAAATATCAAAGGCCATTGGTTCCCCACTCACTTAAATTGATTGGTTTTCCATTGTCATCTAAAAGCAATGCATGGTATTAAAGTAACAGCATTTATTGCCCCCCCCCGTGTTGTTTTCCATGTTGTTATTGGGTAAACCAAATAAATAACTTTGCTGTGATGTATGCTATACTTCCCTCATCATTAAATCCCTGCATTTATAGCTTGAGAAACGAAGAGATCCAGACTACATTGCAGAAGCTATTGAATCTTAAACACTTGTATGGCACCGTTCACAGATTTGTTCTGAAAAGCTAAAATATTGTAGAGCCCTGCCTGGGAGCTGATATCTTACACGGAGACACTTATTATTGTCCCATCACTGGGGGACATGTGGGTGGGCCTGTTCCCGTGGCATGTGGTTACATTTTTCATAGCGGAACATAGCTTGTGAGGGATGTGGGGGGACAATGTCATGAGTGTGACATTGTGGTGTCCTGTTGTTGAGCACATGAGCATTGCACCTCCCACCCTAAGCTGGGCATAAGCTTCCCAGGCTTTGTGAAGGAGATGCTAGGGGTCTGACAGGATGCTGGAATCCTCCTGCCTCCTTCCAAAAGCTGGATAAGGTTTGGGAAGATGGCAGGATGGATCTTGGACCCATCGTAGCCTCGCGCCTAAATCCTAAATCCGGGCAGAAGTTTCCTGGGCTTCAGGAAGGAGGCACTAGGGGAACATCTAGGGGACTAGCCTAGGACTCAGCTATACAGCTGCAAATAAAACATTTTAAGTGTGTTTTAAGTGCAATATACAATGTGACACTAGATGGTGATGGTGAGCCTTATGGAAAATTCAGTGTGTTTTTAATAAAGCTTTTAAAACAGCATTTTCGGAATGGTTTTTATATGTGTGTAGATTCCACCCTAGTCCCCTTAGGCCAATGACTGCATGCCACTGGCCTGCTCCATGGTGGCTCCCCAGCTTTGGAATTACATTTCATTTGAGATTTCACAGGCATCCATGCTGGGGGTTTCCTCCTGACCCACCTCTGATTCATTTCACGCTGAGCTCGTTGTTTTATTATTGTTAATGTATTCATGTTTTCACTGCTGTTGATTAAATTTTATTGTAGGTTGATTGGATAACAGGATATCAGTTTTTTAAATAAATAAATAAATAAATAAATAAATAGATAGATAGTAATGTGTTTTCTATATCAGAATCCCAAGTCTTTTTCCTCATAAAGAGACAGTGATTCATGCTTGCAGAAGGAGGCAGGAGGCTCCCCCTCTTCAGTTGAATGCCACATCATCCTAGTGGTAGGAAAACTATAGGCCAGAATAGGCTCTGGCCCAACCTTTTTATGACTGGCAGGCACCTTCCTGAAAGGTGATGGTAAGGGTCACGCCAAATCACCTCCAGGAGGCTCTGCCTGCAGCCATGGGAAGCAGTGGTGGAGGAAGTTGCAAAGGTACAAGGGGGGAGGGAGGAAAGGGAGGAAATAGGTGAGTGGCAAGGGGCAGTGGCAGGGTAGTGGTGGTTGTGGGGGCATGATACATACCAGCTCTTATTTTTCTTTAAGACCAAACCAAAAAAACACTTAATACAACAATGCTGTATCTTTTTCTCATGTTATATTGCAGTATTTTAATTAGTAAACAAAATGCAAAAAGCTAAGGTGGTTCAATGATTTTTCTCTGCAAGGGAAAAAGCCACCTTATACTTGTTTTTGTCATGTTCCTGAAAAGGAATAACAGTCAGCACTCAAGGAACTACCATCAAAAGAGTGTCACCTTGTGCTTATTGCAATCTTTCAAGTACTTGAAAAATAATAATAATAAAAGATTCATCACCCTTTTCTATTTTGTGTTTCTTTTAAATTTTGAATTGGAAGATTCGATGGAATCTGAAAATTCATGCTGTTCTCCCACAAAGCACTGTAGAAAATGCAGTGCCTAACTTTCTTTTTGAGAGCCAGTATAGATAGGAATGGCTTCAGATTTATGATTATGCCACAGTGACAACACAGCTGATTTTGTATCTCCAAGACTGGGGTTTGTAGTGGGAAGCCTTTTGTTTTGTTCAGGGGAGGTTGTGGCCTCACCTGCCCCTCCTCAGTAAGGGTATGCTGTTAGAGGGATCCGGGGTGTGATTTTTTTCTGGAGCCTTCGCATGGACTAGGGCCATGTCACAGTTCCCTATGGGAACCCCTGGGGGTGTTACTATCTGACTTAAGTTATAGGGCATTCCCTAATGGTGGTTTACCCTTCCGTAGACACCCTGCAGACAGGCAGGAGTCAAGATATAGTCTGGCTTCACCTAAAGCCTAAGCCAAACCACTCACATCTGTAACCAATAAAGCATGTGTGAATCCATGAACCATAATATTCTGTGTCAGTGTGATTTATTGTTCTCCTGGGAACTTTGTGGCTCGGCTGCCTTGGGATGCAAGGAACTGCTGAAGTGGTCAAAGCAGTCTCTTTGGTAATGGCCCTAGTCAGCTTGCTAAGAATACACGTAAAATGTCTTAAGTATCAAAAAGGAGAATTATTTTAGGGGTTTTTTGGAATATCCCATACTTGTTTTTATAACATTCAGTACTGTCCAGAAATTCTTAATTTTCAGTATTATTAAGGGTCCCTGAATGGATTCCCAGCAAAGTACTTTCACAGTGAAAATGACACAAAGCAAACATAAAACAGCAGTAAATTCATTCATTCATTTTACATATATGTCATAAAATAAATAAAAAAGAGAACTGTCATTGTGAAGTTCTGTGTTTCAGGCTGTGTCACCACCAAACCCCTTTGCTGAAGCTTGGTCTTTATGCTGACTCAGCTCCTCAACAGTTCTGTCAAACAGATTAACATTTGGGAATCAAATTATAAAACCCTATGTAACATAGAAACATCATTTACAACAACCAACTGCATCTGCAAAATGCTTTGTTGAGCCAGCCTCTCAACAATGTTCCATTTTCCCTGGAGGGAACAGCTGTAAAAGGCAATAAGGAACAACTCTTTGCAGGTATAGTACTTGTACTTTAAGCCTTAACTGGAACATCAAGGGGGGAAATAGAATTAGACATCGACATTCCTATTGCCTTATTGGTGCCAATCATCTATGTAGGATAGTGTGGGAACAAAAAAAGAGAAGGTAAAGGGGGGGGGAAATTCAACACCACTTTCCTGATCAGGTGTACTGGGCTCCTGAGAGCATGTCTCAAAGAAGTCAGAGAAAACAGAACTATAAATTCCCACAGCAGAAAAACCTCAGTGTTAGCAGATACATACAGAGGATTAATTTTAAAAGGAAAGAATTAAGGAAGTTCAAAGGACTGGGTAAACTACATGCCTCGTCTGCCCATTGAAACATTGTTGAGACAAGATAAAGTTCAATCTACACATACATGCAACATAATACTTCAAAGTCTTCTTCCTGAGCAACTGGAATATCTCTTTTGAAAACTGCTGCATTTGAGTTGATAGGAGACTTCTGCATGGAACCAGTGATGATAACGTTAAGAATGAAAGTGAGTAAATCCATTTTCAATCATTCAATGATAAAACTCTATGCTCAAAGTATGTCTCATTAAATTTAGTGGGACTTACTCTCAGCTAAGTGTTCACAGTATTGCAGCCTACATTACTAAAATGTATATATGATCTGTTATGGCAAAAACAAAAGTTTTGAGGACTAACAAATTTATTGTGCAGGGAATTTTCATATATAATACATATTGATCGCTCAAGAAGTCAAAGGCCAAAAAAGAAGAATTAAAACAACAACCCTATACAAACTTACCCTAACTTTTTGACTTCATGGTTAGTGCACAAACAACCGGACAAAATCGAAGATGCCATTGTAGGTTTGTCGTCACATTCTTGAACAGTATCAATAGTCTGTTGGTGCCTGAAAAACGTACACATTTATTATGGCTTTTTGGGAACAAAGGTCCACGAAGCATTATCTTGAGTATACATGTGGCTGTGGTTAGCTTTTGTGGCAGGGGATGGAGGTTGCAAACAGTGAATCGCTAAAAGTACAGAGACAGTGAAAAATAGACAATTAACTAAGTAGCTGGATTGGTAAACCATTTAATACATGTTTAGTTATTAAATAAATATATTGGAACAGTTCAATTTAGAAGTTATAACACTATACCTCTTGCAATTTAGTAGTTTCATGATGCAATCTCCTTTTGCAGTTTCTTTTTTCAAGTGCAACCATATTACGGTCAAAAAACACTCTCTCCGAGTCCTGTCCCATGAACTTCTGAGGGTGCTGGAACTACCAAGAGGAGCCCCCTTGCCAATCTTATCAGAGTCTTGTAGGGAAGGAGTCAAAATCAGATATTAGGAAACCAACTCACTTACCATTCTAAATAGTAATATGAGTAGTTTAATTGTGCCCAGAAACTAATTTGTAAACCACTGCAGGTGACTTCTGAGTTCAAAATTGAACCCTGCTCAGTAATAACACTACTGCATTTTGACCAGCTGAAATTTCAGAGATATCTACCCATTTTTTCTGAAGGAGAGTAATTGTGCAGATTTCCTCCTGTACCCCAAAGATTATGATCTACTCAAGATGCATTTATGACATCCACTTTGTTGTACTATTAGGAAAATATTGAAGGGGCAATAGGAATATCACAGTTCTCCCTACGCGAAGCACACATTTCATGGTGGATACAGCACTGCCCATAATATTAATATATATGAATTTACATTGTCTGCATAAAGGCATTAAATGAAATGCAGAACCAGTTCTGATATTTTGGTGGGATTTTCTCTCCTTCACAGATAGCAGGCATTCTTTTGTGACATACAAAATGCATAATGTGACTTCCACATCTGGATTTCTACTTCTAGAATTTTCTCAGAACCGAGAACTACAGATACTACACTTCCTTGTGTTCCTAGGACTATACTTGATAACAGTAATTGGGAATCTTTTGATCATCTTTGTAATAGCCCTTGACCATCACCTGCATACACCAATGTACTTCTTCCTCATGAACTTGGCCATTTCTGATATTGGCTCAGTTTCTGCCATTCAGCCCAAATCCATGGTTAATTCAATCATGAACAACAGGCAAATTTCTTATGGTGAATGTGTCTCTCAAGTTTTTTCCCTTTTCCTCTTTGTGTGCTCTGATTTTACCCTGTTAACCATAATGGCACATGACAGGTATGTTGCCATCTGTAATCCATTGCAATATGAAGTTGTTATGAACAAAGGAGCCTGCATTCAGATGATTACCATTGCATGGATCACCAGTATTCTCTATGCTGTCTTACACACTTCAGGCACATTTTCCATTACCTTCTGTTCCAATCATGTTGATCAATTCTTCTGTGAAGTCCCAAAACTACTAAAATTGTCTTGCTCTGACTTACACCTAGTTGAAGTTGGACTTCTTGCGTTTAGCAGTATTTCTGGTTTTGGATGCTTTGTCTTCATTATTGTAACTTATGTGTATATCATGACTGCAGTCCTCAAAATGCCTTCTGAACAGGGACGGCATAAGGCCCTCTCCACTTGCCTACCCCACCTCCTGGTTGTCTCTCTGCTCATGTCCACTGGACTCTTTGCCTACATCAGACCACCTAGCAACAGCTCATCTTCCCTGGATCTAGTATTTGCTGTGATATATACTATTCTTCCACCTATGCTGAACCCATTCATCTATAGCATGAGAAACAAAGAGATCCAGACTGCATTGTGGAAACAATTGAATCTTAAGCAATTTCCTGACACTATTCCCAGGTTTATTCTGAAATGTTTGGGATTTCCTTTTATAGCCCTTCCTAGGAGTTGAGATCTACTGGGGTTGCCCTTCTTAGGGAGCAATCCAATATTCAAGAAGCAGGCATGAAAAGTATGCAGCAGAATCATCTGGTAGGCACATTTGTTGTTGCTCTGTACCCCATAGATATTATTTTGTTGAGTTTTGAAAAATTAAACCATTATTACTGTTCATAGTAGTGTCACCCAGATACACTGTGAACAGGGTAATTTTGCTATTGCAGCAATCCCTAGCCTGGACCTTTCCATATTTTGTTGGCATCCAACTACTATCAGCTAGGACCACTTTATCATCCTGTTTTGGGTTGAAGGGAGATGGAGTCCAACAAAATAGTAAAGGCCATTGGTCCTCACTCACTAGACTACCGGAGTGCTACTTAAATGGCTTGGTAATGTATTGTCATCTAAAAGCAATAAATAGTATTAAAGTAACAGCATTTATTTTTCCCGTGTTGTTTTTTGTGTTGTTATTGGGTAAATGAAATGGAAAGGTATCAACTCTTTTACCACATGGAGAGGAGTTATAGCTCAAAGCACCTGGAAGGTTGATCTTTAGTGATTCTTCCTCAATTCCAAGTTCACCTCTTCTTCCTAAATGAGTGATCAAGGTTGACCTTTGTGACTCTAGATTCACCCCTCACAACATTCCAATGTGTTGTAGGCTACTGTGTCAAGTTCACTAGCAAAGTCCCATGGCAGTTTAGCCAAGTTCTGTGCTCAGGGTTTTCCTTTGGAGTTAGCTGAGGAAACTACATGAAGCCCAGGATGTTCATCTCTTACGAGAGAAAGAGATTGCTGATTTTAGGTTGATTTAAGCCTGAAGAATGTAGTAGATGCTACCTGCCTATATTATATTAAGTTTAGAAAGTAGGAGCTACATTTTATTTTTATTTTACTGCAGTTTTAAGTTCTGTTTATTTTGCAGATACAGGAAGGGTATCTTCAGGCATCATTAATGTAAACATGCAAAATGGTGTTCTCAATTATATATGCAATATCATTTGCAACAGGTAGCAATGTGCTCTGTTCTGTGGGACCAAATATAGACTAGGGCGAAGGATTGACTGATCCCTTGAAGGACCCAGTTGCAGAGATTCCAAAGGAAGATTCACAAAACACCTGAATGATCATTTCCAGTGCTTTATCATAAAGTTATATCAAGAGACTTACATACAGCAATGCAATGTAGGATTCCTTGTCACTACACTTCAGATCAGACACTGAAGCAGCAAGCACCATGGCTTTGTTTGTAGGGGCCAAGTGGATATGGGCTACTCTTTTGCCAAGAACAAAATGGGTTCAATCTTAATAGATTTCTGAAGTAGCAACAGACCAACAGTGTAGAAGAAAGGTTTAATTTATTGAGCAGAATAGGCCTTTATAGCCACATTTAAAAAATGCAGAAACTCACTTGGGATCAAATAAAGAGGCAGACAATCAATTAAGAACTAAACAGAGGAACTAAACAGCCAACAACACACACAAACCCATCACACACCATCCCAAACAAAACATTTAACCCAACAGCCAACATACAATAGCAGACAACCAACTGAACCCCTCCAGCCAGCTACAGGGAGTCCCAGGGGTATCAGGGGCTGCGTAGTACCAGCAATAGCATTGGCTTGCATCAAGTCTCCCTCTTGTCTGGCTCAAACCCTGCAGTTTTTATCAGCTCTAGGCAGTGACGTAGGTAGCTGTTCATGTGCCGGGGGCGGCATGCACATCCTGCAACTGGGGTGAGACGAGCTGCCCATGGGGGTGGGGCGTACTGCATGGAGCCTCTCTGCTGTCACTCCCTCAGCTGTAGGGCAGCTGAGGGAGAGGCGGAGGGCAGATGCAAGTCCTACGCTGCTATTTTAGGCAGAGCGGAGCCTGGATGCACCCAGGCCACCACATCACTGCCAGGAGAGACACGTGGCTCAGGCATACTGCAGCCCCCCCCCCGGTAAGTGCTGGCCCCCACGGTGTGGTGCCCAGGGGCAGCTGCGTTTCGTTACCTGTGTTGGCTGAAATAAAAGTTTCATGAGCCCAATTTTCAGTTTTTTGAAACTCATTTTTTTGTCATTTTGTCACACCCCCAAGTGATGACACCCAGGGTGGACTGCACCCCTGCACCCCCTTCTCCACCACTGGGACCAGGCAGATGAGGCTTAATGACTGAACTGCCCCCACCTGGAGTGATTGATACTACTTTCACCTGGCCTGCAAGTCCATGATCCAGGCCAGTAAAGCAGTTGAACCCCAGCTGGGCTATCCCCTAGCAACAGGAGTGCTCCTGAAAGCATGTAAGTCGGTCATGCCTGTACTCTAAGCCTTAACCTGAACATCAAGAAAAAAATTAGAATCAATTATAGATATTGTGAGGAATGAGGATGTTACTTTTTCAAACAAAGCACAAATGCAACAAGTTAGACACCCACAGGAAAAAACCTGGCAACAAGAGCCCAATTGTAAACATGAAGACGGGACTTAACATATTCACATGTGTTGAGACTATGTGGCTCAAGAGATAAAGATTTAATTTACCAGAAATGTTAGTGAAACACGGCACAATTCATGTGATATATTTATTCTAAATACAAAGTACCAAGGAACTGAACATTGTATCCATTCATTACGATATATGATATACGATATTCGATATACAATATCTTTATTGTCATTGTCCCATGCAGAACAATGAAATTGAAAAACTACATAAAACATTCAAAAACCGCTAAAAACTCTAAAACCCCATTTTAAAATACACTATACTATAGAGACCCCTTATGCTGCATTTAGAACCAGAATTTCATTTGCGTAGAAACTGTTTCTGAGGCGGCTAGTCCTGGCCTTTATAACCCTATACCTTCTTCCAGAAGGCAGAAGCTGAAAGAGATCATTTCCGGGGTGCGTACTATACTGCGCTATCTCTGCCACTTTCTTATGGCACCTGACAGCATAGATTTGATCTAAGGTGGGAAGAGTGCACCCAATTATTCTCTCTGCTGTCTTTACAACCCTGGACAGCATTGTTTTTTCCCGGGCCGTCCAGCTCCCAAACCACACACACAGACCATAAGTTAATACACTCTCCACAGTGCAATGGTAAAATGCCATCAACAGGTCCTTTGAGAGATTGTTCTTCCGGAGGATTCTCAGAAAATATAACCTCTGCTGTGCTCTCTTCATCAGGTCTTTGCTGTTTTCTCCCCAGGTTAGGTCGTCTCTCAATTCCATTTCCAGAAATCAAAACACCGAGACCTGTTCCATGCACTTCCCCTCAATAATAAGTGGCTGAATATTCAATTTACATTTCCTAAAGTCCACAATGATCTCTTTTGTTTTCTTTAAATTAAGGAGTAAGTTGTTTTTCCTGCACCACTCCGCCAACTGCTCAACTTCCTTCCTATAGGCCGCCTCCCCTCTCCAGCCATGATTAAACCAACCACCGTTGTATCATCTGCGAACTTAATGATCTTATTACTGGGGTATTTGGGTGCACAGTGAGCTGTATAGAGCGTATATAAACTCAACACACACCCCTGCGGTGTCCCTGTATTCGTGATGAGATCCGCAGAGACGTGGGAACCCAACCTGACCCTTTGGGAACGGTTTGATAGAAAATCTAATATCCACCTGCACAAACATGGTGGAAGTCCCAGGTCTAATAATTTGGGCACCAATCTATGCGGAAGAATAGTATTAAATGCAGAACTAAAGTCTACAAATAACAGTCTCGTGTAGTTCCCTTGCTTCTCCAAATGAGTCAGGACAGCATGTAAAGCCATTGCCATAGCATCCTCTGTGGATCTCTTTGCCTTCTACGCAAACTGGTAAGGGTCAAGTCCCACTGGCAGACAACATAAGATGCGCTTCCTCACCAGTTTTTTGAAACATTTCATTATAATGAGTGTCAAAGCCACAGGGCAAAAATCATTCAGGGACCTCGACACACAACCCTTTGTAACATAGAAACATCAACAACAACCACCAATTGCATCTGAAAAATGCTTTGTTGAGCCAGCCTCTCAACAATGTTCTATTTTCTCTGGAGGTTACAGCTGTAAAAGGCAATACAGAACAACTCTTTGCAGGTACAGTATAGTACTTGCACGTTAAGCCAAAACCGGAATACCAAGGGAACAAAATATAATTAATTATAGACATTAACATTCCTATTGCCTTATTGGTGCCAATCATCTATTTAGGTTAGTGTGGAAACAAACAAAGAGAAGGCGAAGGAAAAAAATTCAACACATTTTTCCGATCAGGTGCACTGGGCTCCTGGGAGAATGTCTCCAAGATGTCAAAGAAAATAGAACTACAAATTCCTTCCCACAGCTAATAGACCTCCATGTTGGTAGATACACACAGGGGCTAGGTCTCAAAGAAAAATTAAGAAAGATCAAAGAAATGGGTGAACTACATGCCTTGTCTGCCCATTGCAGACATTGTTGAGACAAGATAAGTTCAATGTACACATACATGCAACATAATACTTCAAAGTCTTCTTCCTGAGCAACTGGATTCTCTCTTTTGAAAACTGCTTCATTTGAACCGATAAGAGATTTACACCTGAAACCAGTGGTGCTTATTTCAATAATGTGAGTGAGTATATCCATTTACAACCATTTAATAGTAAAATTCAACGCACAAAGTATGTCTCATAAAATTTAGTGGGACTTCATCCCAGCTAAGTGTTCACAGGATTGCAACCTACATTACTAAAATATACCTGTTTTGTTATTAAAATATAAATTGTAAGATTTCAATCCTCTTGATGAATTGCAATTTAGTAGTTTCATGGTGCAATCTCCTTTTGCAGTTTCTTTTTTCAAGTGCAACCATATTAAGGTCAAAAAATACTCTCTCCAAGTTCAGTCGGATGAATTTCTATGGGTGCTGGAACTACTAAGAGGGAATCTTTTCCAATCTTAACACAAGACAGAGTCTGTCGGGAAAGAGGCAATCTCAGATAATAGGAGACCAATTCACTTAGCATTCTAATATGTAATATGAGTAGTATAA